CTGCACTCCCCCAGTAGTGAGTCTGCTGTGTCAGCTTGGTACCCTGGCGTAAATTATAGCAGCCTGAGAGCTGTGCCAAATTATGCCAGCTGCTAACAGCCCCAATGAGCCAATGCAGCAGTTTAGGATTCAGAGATTATAGGGAACCCCCCAGACAAGTCTCTTCTGTCAGCAGGAAGGAGTGGATTGGCATAAAAGCCTTTATGCCAACTTTACACCACCAGAGGATCCTTCTACATGGGAGAGAGCCTTTTCTAGTCAGTTACATTGGCTTTATGATTGCTTATGCTGGCATTGGGGACAAAATGTATCTGTAGTTTATTGACATCAAAGATCTACAAATTTAAAAAAAGTTCAGTATTTTGCATTTTAGTATTTAGTATTTTTGCTGGATGGCCCAAATAAATAGGATAATGGATACTTCATCACATTCGTAATTTAAGCTGCTTTTCTTGCTGTTGCTTCTTTCAAAGCCTGTAGACCTACTGCAGCTTGCTGTCTCAGTTGGATTTGGTGTAATGCCTGGACATGCAGTCTGCTGATACAGTCACACCTGTTATTTAAGAATGCTGAGTCCTGCACATAAGAGAAATAATCAATATTATTTTATTCCATTTGGGATATAAAATGAAAATTTAAAAAACTCTTTCCAAAACATTGGATAACATTGGAAATAAGACTTGACTTATTCTTATAGTTGCGCTCCAGCACTCTTCATGGACATTACATCACCCATAACATACATGGCAAGCTGCATGGACACTCTTCAAAGACACCATAATAGAAGCTCAACTTAAATGTATACCCCAAATTAAAAAAACACAATAAGAGAACTAAAAAAGAGCCACCATGGCTTAACAACCATGTAAAAGAAGCAGCGAGAGATAAAAAAGTATCTTTTAAAAAATGGAAGTCAAATCCTAATGAGGTAAATAGAAAGGAGCATAAACACTGCCAAATTAAATGTAAAAATGTAATAAGAAAAGCCTAAAAGGAGTTTGAAGAACAGCTAGCCAAAAACTCTCAAGGTAATAACAAAATGTTTTTTAAGTACATCAGAAGCAGGAAGCCTGATAAACAATCAGTGGGGCCCCTGGACGATCGAGATACAAAAGGAGCACTTAAAGATGATAAAGTCATAGTGGAGAAACTAAATGAATTCTTTGCTTCAGTCTTCTGGCTGAGGATGTTAGGGAGATTCCCAAACCTGAGCCGACTTTTGTAGGTGACAAATCTGAGGAATTGTCACAGATTGATGTGACACTAGAGGAGGTTTTGGAATTAATTGATAAACTTAACAGTAACAAGTCACCGGGACCAGATGGCATTCACCCAAGAGTTCTGAAAGAACTCAAATGTGAAACTGTGGAACTATTAACTATGGTTTGTAACCTGTCCTTTAAATCAGCTACTGTACCCAATGACTGGAAGATAGCTAATGTAACGCCAATATTTAAGAAGGACTCTAGAGATGATCCCGGCAATTACAGACCGGTAAGTCTAACGTCAGTACTGGGCAAATTAGTTGAAACAATAGTAAAGAATAAAATTGTCAGACACAGAAGAACATAAATAGTTGTGCAAAATTTAACATGGTTTCTGCAAAGGGAGATCATGTCTTACTAATTTATTAGAGTTCTTTGAGGGGGTCAACAAACGTGTGGACAAGGGGGATCCAGTGGACGTAGTGTACTTAGATTTCCAGAAAGCCTTTGACAAGGTCCCTCACCAAAGGCTCTTACATAAATTAAGTTGTCATGGGATAAGAGGAAAGATCCTTTCGTGGTTTGAGAACTGGTTAAAAGATAGAGAAGAAAGGGTAGGAATAAACGGTAAATTTTCAGAATGGAGAGGGGTAACTAGTGGTGTTCCCCAAGGGTCAGTCCTAGGACCAATCCTATTCAACCTGTTCATAAATGATCTGGAGAAAGGGATAAACAGCGAGGTGGCAAAGTTTGCAGATGATACAAAACTGCTCAAGATAGTTAAGACCAAATCAGACTGTGAAGAACTTCAAAAAGATCTCACAAAATTAAGTGATTGGGCAACAAAATGGCAAATTAATTTTAATGTGGATAAATGTAAAGTAATGCACATTGGAAAAAATAACCCCAACTATACATACAATATGATGTGGTCTAATTTAGCTACAACTAATCAGGAGAAAGATCTTGGAGTCATCATGGATAGTTCTCTGAAGACGTCCACGCAGTGTGCAGCGGCAGTCAAAAAAGCAAACGTGATGTTAGGAATCATTAAAGGGGCAGAGAATAAGACAGAGAATATCTTGTTGCCCTTATATAAATCCATAGTATGCCCACATCTTGAATATTGTGTACAGATGTGGTCCCCTCATCTCAAAAAGGATATACTGGCATTAGAAAAGGTTCAGAAAAGGGCAACTAAAATGATTAGGGGTTTGGAACAGGTCCCATACGAGGAGAGATTAAAGAGTCTAGGACTTTTCAGCTTGGAAAAGAGGAGACTAAGGGGGGATATGATATAGGTATATAAAATCATGAGTGGTGTGGAGAAAGTAAATAAGGTAAATTGACTTGTTCCCATAATATAAGAACTCGAAGCCACCAAATGAAATTAATGGGTAACAGGTTTAAAACAAATAAAAGGAAGTTCTTCACTCAGCGCATAGTCAACCTGTGGAACTCCTTGCCTGAGGAGGTTGTGAAGGCTAGGACTATAACAGTGTTTAAAAGAGAACTGGATAAATTCATGAAGGTTAAGTCCATTAATGGCTATTAGCCAGGATGGGTAAGGAATGGTGTCCCTAGCCTCTGTTTGTCAGAGGGTGGAGATGGATGGCAGGAGAGAGATCACTAGATCATTACCTGTTAGGTTCATTCCCTCTGAGGCACCTGGCATTGGCCACTGTTGGTAGACAGGGTACTGGGTTGGATGGACCTTTGGTCTGACCCAGTATGGCCATTCTTATGTTCTTATGTGGGATTCCAAATTGGAATTGGAATGTGTTATGCATATGTTCAGTAGAGGACAAGGAACATGAATCTGACGTCAAAGCAAGAGGAAACCACTGGAGGAATGTGAAGAAGGGGATAGAAATTGATCAAGGAGGATGATAGGCACACTTATTCCTGAAATTGTTTTATGTGAAAGCAAAGGGCTTAATATAATAATAATTATTAATAACTAATAAAGTCGGTTTGTTTCAGTCTAGATGTACTCAGAACATCTTGGATAAATGCCTGTACATGTTTTAATTCAAATAAGTGTAATTTCTTACATTTAAAGTAATGCACTTTATTTTATTACTTGTCTCCAATTTCATGAACTCTTCATATGACTAGTTGATGAAATATGCACAATAGTTTTATGCTCTTAAAAAGAAGTTTTACCTTTAGAAAGCAGTGAGCAGATAGACTTATTTCTAGAATCATTAATTCTGAAGATGACTGTAATGCTATCCAACAGTGTTCAAAGCTGTTGGTTTAGTAATATAAAGAAGCAGGAAAAGGTCTAATCATTAACTCATCGGCTGTGCTATGCTCTTGACATAATGTTCTGTAACCTTGGCACTTGATGTGCGCTTTAGTATTTGAAAGCAGGAATCAACGTGATAGCATTACCACACTCTGTATAGTCAACCTCCCATACTTTTTCTGCTTATTCAGATGAATTTCATGCAATGTAGCATGTTGATTACATTTTGTTAAGGTATTTTTCCTGTTCTGTTCTGTGTGATTTGGCTTAAGATGCAGACTGTTGCTGCAATGTCACAGAAACAGAAAGATGTAGTTATATCTAAGTATTGAGAGGGACAAATTAGGTGAAGGTTTCAGAGTAGCAGCTGTGTTAGTCTGTATCCGCAAAAAGAACAGGAGTACTTGTGGCACCTTAGAGACTAACAAATTTATTTGAGCATAAGCTGTCGTGGGCTACATCTGATGAAGTGGGCTGTAGCCCATGAAAGCTTATGCTCAAATAAATTTGTTAGTCTCGAAATTAGGTGAAGTAATATCTTGTATTGGACTGACTTCTGCTGGTGAAAGGTATAAGCTTTTGAGCTACACAGAGCTCTTCTTCAGGTCTGGGGAAGGAAATCAGAGTTGTCTGAACTCTCTGATTTCCTTCCCCAGTTCTGAAGAAGAGCTCTGTGTGGCTCAGAAGCTTGTACCTTACACAAGCAGATGTTAGTGCAATAAAAGATAATACCTCACCTTCTTTGTCTCTCTTACATCTTGGGACCAGCACAGCTACAACAACATTGCAAATATTTGAAAATTATTGTTCTTATTTGCATATCTTTACTCAGTTACACAGAATTTTAAAAGTGGATAGTCATGTTAGTTACCAGATAATTTATCTGATCATGCATAAAGTTGGCACTTAGTTGCCATTTGAGCTGATACAGAAGTTGGTATTCTGCATTGTCATTTTGCTGCATTTCCTCTTATTTAATTTGCCCTAAAATTGGTTCCTTAGTGTCTATATATTGAACTCTGATTTACCCTTTTATTGTAAGATTTAAAAGGTCAGTGCAAGAAAGGTTCATGTCCTCGCTTCTTGTAAATGTTATCACATGGAATGCCTATGCTCAGCATTGCGAGTGGGCATTGAAAATAGTAATTTCATTAATTGTTTGGGAAATATGTTCCTGAGACTTACTGGACTGACCTGTAAATACTTTAAAATAATTTATCTATCCTAGATGTGTAGAGAAAGAGTGTGTGTTAGGTGGGTAAAAATACATACTAGACAACCAAATGAGAGTAAAAGAGGAATTGTCTTTCTGTGAACTCTTCCCATCCTGAGTTTTTAAGCTTTTATTTGTACACTTACAAATTATACATGTTGCAAAAGTAAAGTTATTTTGAAATATTAAGTTATCTAATATATTTTAAGAATCTTGTATGTTTTCTGACCTGTCTAAATTTATATTTAGATCACTAATTTTGGAATAAGATGAAAAATCTGAGTATGTTTACCTGCATTTTGTAGTTTCAGATATGTCTTTCTTTTTGCAGGTGGACAGACATTTTGAAAAACATACAGCAGTAATTTTATTTGTGGCTGATTCTTGAAGAGCTTGGCAGCAAACTGCGTGGTAACATTCTCTGAACTTCAGCTCTAATGTCTCTTATGGACAAACACAAAGTGAAGCGGCAACGCCTAGATCGCATATTTGAAGGTTAGATACTGCAATCTAAAACGTGACTGCGTTAACCAATTTTATGAATTAATGATCTTCCTGGGGGTTGGAACTGTGTTTCTTACAGTAATTAAACTTCTTTTTAATTAGTCAGGGCTTTTCATGATAGACTCACAATCACTGACTGACTGGCTGAGATTATCATAACTGCACATCTATTCTTTTGAGATGAAAGCCATATAACCTACATCTAGTGCTTGAGCTCCAATGTTATTGTTGTGCATTAAAGGCAGTCCATTACCAGCTTGATATTTTAGTAAATTCTGTACAAACCTTGCAAAAGGATAGATCTTATAGTGTGAACCAGCAGGTTCTTTTTACTTTGAGTGCTAAGACATGCTTGTTAAGGAGGGTGGTTTCTTTGGTGTTCTTCTACAGGTTAAATTCAAATAAATTCAAGAAACTGTCTGATTCTTCAGATAGCACAGGATGTGAAATATATTTTAAATGATCAGTACTAGAAAAAAGAGCCAGCCTGTCATTTGGAAGGATTTTAGTCAATTGGATCAGGCAGTCTATCTCATGCCACAAATAATTTATTCTTATATAATGTCTGAGACTACACTGGTGTTTTGTGCTTTTTGATTCACATCAGAATAGGTTGGGAGAAAATTTGTGCAGTGGTTTTATATGAAATACCTATAAACAGAAAAATCCAAAAAGACGAGGGATGCTTGAATTTTTATGTTAAAAATGTTAACCTCTCTTTGAGGCACAAGTAGTTTCCCACATCTTTATGGTTACAGAAATTCAGTTTTGCTTTTCAAAACATCAGAGTTGTATTTTGAAAACTTGAGGTACTGCATGTATCTTGGGGTTTGTCAGTGGATCATTTTTGAGAGTTGAATTTTCTATGTGCTGTTCACTATCCATGCAATTTTGTGAATTATAGTGAATAGTGGGACAGAAGAGAAAGTAAATGTGGCCCTATTAAGATTCAGTAGCTAAATGCACAGAGTTTTACATCTTTGTCAGGGACATGCTGGCATTCTATAGAACTACTTAAATATTTAACATTTTGCAAAAATGTGTAAGATGTTTTACAGAGTTCAAGAAACTGTTGTTACACAGCTGTTTAAAGATTGTTCATCTTCATTGTCAGCTTTCTTCCTTATCAGTTCCAATGTGCTTATTTGTTTTCTCTATTATATTTATTTCTAAATATCTGATATTTTCATATTATTTTTTAAACTCTTATTTATTTTTCACTGTCAAATCCACTTAAGTGTAGGATAATGTCTCTAGTTATTGCTGTTGTAGCTATGTGACATTTCAAACGTTGTTTTTGTAACATGCTAATTTTAATGTACTTTTGCATTGGTGTCAGACAGTACTTGGAGAAGAAATGTTCTCTAAAATGATAGAATAGTAGTGTTCTAGTTGTAGATTTGTATGTGACAAAAATAGTTTACCGGTCTTCAGTTTTGGGGGAGGGACAACAGTGGATTTAATTTTGTGGGCCTGATTTTCAAAATTAGATGCTCACAATTTGTAAAATGGCATGCTGTGTTCTCTTGAATAACTTTTCAAAACAGTGATGGTATTAATATGTACTTGGTCATTCCAGTTTATATGCTGTTTTATAAATTACTGTTATATCTCTAAATGACAGAACTGGAATACTGTCGGTTTAAAAAGCCAAAGAATTAAAGTTAAACTCTGGCCTTTTACCCACTGCATTGTAATTATGAATGCCATTTAGACGTACATGTATAATTGTGTGCAGTCTGAGTAGCCTCTGTTGGAAACCTTTAGGTGTTGACTCACATTACAGAATTGTGAGGTAACATTTAGCAGTTTCTTCCTAGAAGATAAATGGATATTTAAGGATGTGAAAGATTAATTAGTTACCAATTATATTGTCCTTTGTCCCCCTCTTCCATGAAACTGGCTTCTGCACGGAATAGTTGAAAATAGTATACATTTGGCAAAACAGTTGGAAGAGTGTCACAGTGCAAAAATAAAATATGTTCATTTTTGTGTAATTTGGAAAATTTGAAATATGTTTCTTGGCTTCTTGTAGGCTAGTTAGCTCTAATTAGGCTATTATTGTACTGTATATTGTAACAACTGTAAACAGTGCAGTATATTTGCTTACATTCTAAAACTGTCCATTGCTGGAGTGTCACAATGATATGCCAATTTTGGCAAGATATTTTTAGTTTGCTGGGAACTCAACAGACCATGGTGGGAGGCAGCTGGAGGTGACTGGGTCTAGGAGAGGGGATCTGTAGTCTTTGGGTCTCCTGTCTGGAGCCTGGTTCATAGACTGATAGATTACAAGGCCAGAAGGGACTATGGTGATAATCTAGTCTGACCTCTGTATAACACAGGCCATAGAACTTCCCCAGAAGAATTTCAAGAGCAGATCTTTTAGAAAAACATCCAATCTTGATTTATAAATGATCAGTGATGGAGAATCCACCATGACCCTTGATAAGTTGTTTCAGCGGTTAAGTACTCTCACTGTTAGAAATTTGCCTTACTGCCAGTCCGAATTTGTCTAATTTCATCTTCCAGCCTCTGGATCATGTTATACCGTTCTCTGCTAGATTGAAGAGCCCTTTATTAAATATTTGTTCCCCATGTAGTTGCCTATATACTGTAATCAAATCTCCCCTTAACGTACTCTTTATTATGCTAAATAGATTGAGCTCCTTGTGTCTATCGACATAAGGCATGTTTCCCACTCCTTGTAATAATTCCTGTGGCTCTTCTTTGAACGTGCTGCAATTTATCAATACTCTACTCTTCTTGAATGATGGACACCTGAAGTTAAAAACATTCCCTATCCAGGCTTTTTTCTTGTGCATCTATGGAACAGTGTGTGGCATCTTCCTTATGAGTAATAAGCATCAGACTTGCCAAATACCAAATGTTCTCTAAAAATTAACCACTGATGGAGACTATTTGAGCTGCTTATATTATGAACCACCAACTGGAGATGTGAAACTAGGACCTAGGCCAGTATCTTTGTCCAGATTGATGAGAGAGAGAGAGAGAGATGCCTCTGATTATCAAAAATCAGATTCATTCATATAGTTTAATTTGGTTGACTAAAATTAGGCACCTAAGTACATAACTAGATACATGAATAAAAGCGGGATGATTTTTCAAAGGTGCTGAGTGTTCATACCTCTTACTCACTTCTACAGAAGCTGCAGATGGGTTAGCACTTTTGAAAAACAGACAACTTATTTAGGTTACCCAGTATGCACCGAGCTGCCCAATTTGAGGCATCCAAATTTGCAAATGTTTGCTCATGGGAATTACTTTATTTACTGTGTGTAGCTGAGAAAGCACCCAACCTTAAATGAGTGTAAGTTAATATGTATTAATGATGGAATAATGGTAAATTTGCAGATATTTTTCTTAGGGAACTCCTTTTATATATGCTCCACCTCAAATCAAAGCAGAATTGCTAAAATTTGTACAGTAAGATACCAAAATAAATAAATTAAAAGTTTTGAAAAAGGAAATCTACTATACAATTTACTTCATGTACTTTTCCACCTTTTCTTAAATCAGTTTTGATCACTTGAACATTTTTATATTCTGTGGAATAAGAATAGGTTTTACAGAATCAAGGTAGTTATTTAACGTGTGTACTGACTAGGTTTTCTAGTTTGTAAATTCACACAGATTATTATAAAATAAATGAAAAAACAAAATGTGTAGACAATTTGCAAGTTAGATTAAAACTTCATACTGGAAAGTGGTCACGGTGTTACACATTGACAGATATTATTCTTGTGAATTTGCGTTGCATATTTAGTAAATGTCATTTTCCTGAAAACGTTACGGTGGAATGTTTAGTTGTGATGCTTTTTGACTGAGTAACTGGGGAAGCTTTACTGAAAGATCAGGGCAGCAGGGGGAGCTAGAAGATCCCTAATATTTTATTGTTTTTTTCCAAGTGAAAGTTGCTCCTCCATGTGAAGAACCAATTAACCTACACAAAAATGCCATCTTGTAAACTTAAATGTCCTTAGTTAATAAATAAGTAAAAATTCTGAACTGGAAAAATGTCCCTTTCCTCCAGCAACCCAATACAAATTAAATTGGAAATCAGACAGTAAAAGCTGCAGAAATCTTTACCTGTAGAATAGCCATCAAATCCTTCGACTGTAACTAATGAAGATATTTGAGGCAATCTGAATTTTCTGTAGATAAGCCAATCTGAATTTTCAATGAATAACCCAGTTTCAGGTTCAAGCCCACTTGTGATCAAGTTACTCTAAAAGTAAACTGTGTAAACTAATAGTTTTTTCCACTCTGATATCACACTGCTTTCAGAGCACTTTGGAGCAACTCCAAACTGTTTTCCTAGATTCATTTCCCCGTAAGAATCTGTAAATATGTTAAAAGAAAAGGAGTACTTGTGGCACCTTAGAGACTAACCACTTTATTTGAGCATGAGCTTTCGTGAGCTACAGCTCACTTCATCGGATGCATACCGTGGAAACTGCAGAAGACATTATATACACACAGAGACCATGAAACAATACCTCCTCCCACCCCACTGTCCTGCTGGTAATAGCTTATCTAAAGTGATCATCAAGTTGGGCCATTTCCAGCACAAATCCAGGTTTTCTCACCCTCCGCCCTCCCCCCCCCCCCCACATAAACTCACTCTCCTGCTGGTAATAGCCCATCCAAAGTGACCACTCTCTTCACAAAGTGTATGATAATCAAGGTGGGCCATTTCCTGCACAAATCCAGGTTCTCTCACTCCCTCACCCCCCTCCAAAAACCACACACACAAACTCACTCTCCTGCTGGTAATAGCTTATCCAAAGTGACCACTCTCCCTACAATGTGCATGATAGTCAAGGTGTGCCATTTCCAGCACAAATTCAGGTTTTCTCACCCCCCCCCATCCCCATACACACACAAACTCACTCTCCTGCTGGTAATAGCTTATCTAAAGTGATCATCAGGTTGGGCCATTTCCAGCACAAATCCAGGTTTTCTCACCC